TGGCATGAAGATCGCGTCATTCACCGAGGGTGTGCAAAATTTGCCACGGCCAAGTGTGGACCGTGGCATTCCATCGCGGCATGTTTAACTTAGTCATTTTGGGCTGTCTGGACCATTTCGCATTCCGGAGAGTGTAACTTCCTGGAGACTTGTCCGAATTGAGTGATTCCGGTTGCAGAAGACAGAGGACTCATTTATCTCCAAGTTTTGTGAAGGAATATTCGGTGCTTGGGAAGTGGAAGGCTTCCTGGAGGGCTCATCTTCGCAATGCATTTACACGATCAGAGAGGGCAGTCTATACATATGTCCATTCCGAAGACCTTATCTTCCTGCTCATAGCTCCGAACTGGATGATCTTGGATGTTCTGGAAAGAAGACTCAAATATCTCTGATTCTCATGAAGGCCCCGGAAACTGAATCGGCGTGGAAGTGCACCGTCTTTCGCATTCTTGAGAGCTTATCGGCTTCGTTCAAAACATCAGCGAGACAAGGGTTTCTTCCGTCGAGCTTAACTCTCTGCTCACGCGTCCGAATTCCATGATTCCAGTTGCTATAAATCCGTGATCCAATGTTCTCCAACTTCTATGAAGTACCCGACATCTGAATCGGACCGGAAGGTTCCCCGGACAGGCGATTTCGTAAACGTGTCTGCACCCGGAGATTTTGGCCGGTACGCGTTTTGGCCGATAAGATCTGCCCGCGATAAGTGAAAATGGCCGATAAAATCCTCCCTGGTACGCGAAAATGGCCGAGAAAACCTTCCTGGTCTGTGAGAATGGCCGATAACCTCCAAAGACCTCATTTCACCCTTTTTCAAGCCTTGACCACCATTCCACCTCCTGGATCCATCTTTTCAGCTCCAAATGCACCTGATAAATACTCAAAACATGCAAAGACTCATTGGGACCTAATGCATCTCCTAAGTTCTAAAACAAACCCTAAGGACTTAAAATACATGGAATAAAACATGATTTAGAATGAATTATGCAACTTAAATGATGTAAATTATGAACATATCAACTCCCCCACACTTGTCCTTTGCTTGTCCTCAAGCAAACAAGAACAAATGAGAGAAAGAGGTTGAATGCATGGGAGTTTACATTTCCTTTTTGAGAGAAGTGATCACAATGAGAATTCAAGTTCATGCTCAATTATGCAATGCAAAGTCATACTCAGATATATATCAACTCAGCAAGGAATCTCCACAAGTTCTTCTCTCTCTCAACTCTTTCACATTCATTAAGATTTTATCAGGTGGATCTCATGATGAAATGCTTAAACAAGCTGGCTTGGCTAGGGAGAGGCTATGAGATTAAAATGATCTCATCAGTGTTCAAGCGGGTTTAATGCAGCAAAGGGATCTCTCTATGAATGATCAAACTTTGGCAGAATGCTAAAGGTAAAAAGCAACCTATGCATACAAGGGCAAAGACTCATCACACCCCACCCTCTACTCAAAGCTTCCTCACTTGCTCAAAAACCCTCACTTTTCACTCTCATTTTCCTCTCACTAGGAGATTTACTTTTCACTTTCACTCTCAAGTCTTGGAACTCAAACTTTACACAGCTCTTTTTCTTTTACAACCTCTAGCCTCTTCTTTCTTTCTTTTCAAAACATTTGAGCCTTTTGGCTTCTTTCCTTTTTACTTAGAGGCTAGACTCTTTCTTTTCAACAAACCAGAGCTCACTTTCTCAAAACACCAAGACTGATTTCTTTTTCTTTCATTCCCCTAGCTATTTCCACTCTCTCTTTCCCACTCATCTCACCTTTTTCCACTCACCAACAAGTCTTTTCCCCCACACTTATTCCTCGCCAAAACTCTCAGTTCCTTGATGTTGGAACACAGCACTCAATGAGACCTGCCCTTGTCTCTCTAAACCTAACACTTTCTGCTAAGTTTGATCCAAAGTGGCCTTTCAATTCACACACAAACATTGGCTTGAAAGAAAGATGGGTTCAAGGTGAGGGAACTGATCCATGATGTGGATTCAGCTACTTGAGCTAAGGAAAAAGAGTGGTAAAAACAATGGTTCTAGCTCAAGTATGTATATCGGTATCCACAAGCTTTTTCAAACAATGCATCACAAGATATTTTCAAGTCAAGTTCAAGGTTCTCACTTAATTAGAGTTGAGTTCAATTCGAACTTGCTTCTCAGATTCAGATCGTTTCAGACTTTGCAAGCATAGAAAAAGATTCACAAGCATATTTAGTTCAAGTTCTCAAAGTGATGCACTCTCTAGGAAACCTATCATTACTCCTTGCAAGATGCAACCTACATGCATATGCAATCTAGACTCAATCCTAAAAATGAGAATGCAACTACATGATCATTTTTTTTTTTGTGTAAATTTTTCAGATTTTTCCATTTTTTTGGTTTTTATATGCACTCAGATGAGACTACATGTATATGCAACTAGAATGTGACTCAAGACTCAAAGTGTAAAATAAGAAAAGAGAAAACATGATTAGTAAAGGATGAAACTCCTCCCCCACACTTAAATAACACAGTCCCTTGTGTTATAGAAGCATGAGAAAGGAGTTAAAACAAAGTAAACAAGTAAAATGCAAAAGAAAAGAAAATCTACATGCTATTTACAAGGTTTTGAGTGTTTACCTCAATCGCTGAGGTCTGATCCCAAGTAGTGGGATGGGTTGGAGGTGGAAAATGATGGAGTTGAGTATCTAGGTGGACTGCTCTCAGGTGAGTCTGGTTGGAACGCTGTGGCCGGGTTCACCCAATCTTCTTTTCCTGGTGGTAGCACAAGGTCATTGGCAGCTGAGCTTTCTCCCACCTCTTCTCTTGTATCTCGTTTGGGTGAGGTGGCTGGAGCTGGGAGCTTCTTAACTTTCTTCTTAAGCTGCCTAACACAGTCAACTAGCTTGTTGATTGTTTTGTCCTGCCATTTGCACCATTTCTGTAGGGTGTTAACTCTGGTATACAGCTTCCTTGTGTGATAATCAGGCTCACCCCAAAAGTAAGGATCAAAGTGATATCTTCCTGCTCCCATCCTCCTCTCAAAATCTCTTGTCTCTTCATACTCACAACCGGCTGTTGTGCTTTGCTCTTCAACTAGCTCTTTACCCTTAGAACTAGCGGTCTTCTTGCATTTGGGAATTTGAGGGTGAATGGCTGGGTTGTAGAGCTGATCTTTTAGGACAATAAAAGAGACTTTGTGCCTTTCTGTGAGAGTGGTGATGGCTGGGTGTGGCAACAGAACATGAACCTTTTCATCTTGTAAGAGCTTGAAGGTGTACAAGAAGTTTTCACCATTGCTCGCTTTTAAAATCCCAACCTTGGTGAGGGTAGCTTCATCAATCAACTCAGTCCTGACCTCAACATCATCAAAGACAAAACCTCTTGCTTTCAGAATCTTTGTCACTAGCCATCCATTGTGCAACTTAGTGAGCTTCTTTCTTTTACCCTCACTCCAAGCTATGTCCTTGTAAATCAGCATTTGGCGCGCTAAGAATGCACCACTAGATGGGATGTAGTGTGGGAGGCGAAACTCTCTCTTGCTCTTCAAGTGACTGATGAGAGGATGAAGACCCATACCCAGTAGCTCCATGTCAGCTAGATGCACCACTCCATCATTGTGCTTGGTAAAGAACATTTGGCAAAGCACCTTGTGAGCATAGCGGATTGCTGGGTTTCTTATCCATGAACTCTTGCATCTTCCTCCTCTGAAGCTCCCAAAAGCAATTGTATCCCACAAGTCAGTAATCATGTGGTCAGGGTATGTGAACTTCACTGTCTGTTCCTGTGCACGTCTTGGAAAAGAAAAGATCTCATCAAGTTCCTTGAAGCTTACATGGTGTTGTGCACCATCTATTGTGAACTCTATGTGCCCAAGACCATTACCCTCTTTGATTCTTTCATCTCTTGGGCCATACCCACAAACTTGAAGGGATGCAAGAAACTCTTGTGTAACACCATCATGAGCCACATCTCTCATTTCAAAGAATCCACCAAACCCCATGTTGTTGAAAATGAGCTGAACCTCTTCAAGAATTCCCATCTTCCTCAGCAGCTCCATATCAGGGAACTTGGTTTGCTGCACTTTTGCACCCCTGAACATAGCAAAGTAGTCATCAAAAGTTGGTTCTCTGTCCTCAGAACTTGACTTTGCTTTCTTAACCCGCTTCAATGCTGTTTCAGGGTCACTCTCTGTTCCTTCTTCATCCTCAACCACAGCCACCTCTTTTCCTGCCCTGTGAACGACCTCAACCAATGCCAACTCGTTACCAGAAGTTTTTGATGTAGAGGCCTTTGTCTTCTTTTGTGCAGCAACCTTCTTTGCTTTCTCCTCAGCTGGATCCTTTGGCTTTCTTTGCCTTTTCTGCTTCTTGAAAACTGTGTACCCAAAAGGCATAATCTTATCCTCTGAAGCTCCAGTTTTCTCCTTTTTGGCTTTATCCATGGCTGCTGTTCTTTTTGTTCCTCCCATCTGCATTTTCTCAAACAGCTGTAAGCACCAAAGCAAGAGAACAACAAAATTTTTCTAAAATTCACCAAGCTCATGTGTGGTACAAATCGATTTCTCTTGTCAAGAATGTATTTTAAGCTGATTTAAAACTCAGTAAACTCAAAGCAATAGCAAGAAGCAATGCACACAAAGAGTTCAGCTTGAAACACAATTCTAAAAAAAATCGATACACTTGATGAATTTCAAGAAAAATTTCTCAAAAATTCCAAGAACAGGTTATTCTCAAGCAAGATCTATGAAATTCCTATCCATTCTACTTGCACAATACTCACAAAATGATTCCAAGGTATCAAGAAGCTCATTAAAATCGATTCCATTTGTTTTTCTGTTCATGAACAGTACACTAAAGCATGGAAAAGGAGAATTTTAACAGACTAAATACCTTGGAATCTTCAAGTTTCGAGTGAAAACCGAATGTGCAGCAAGAAACTAGACAGGATTACGAGTTCAATACAGTTGGAATCACTCAATTTGATGCAGCAGCGAGAGAGATATGAAGGTTTAAAGCTTAAGAATGGAGAGAAAAGAGCAAACTCTCGATGAAGAAGAAGGAGAGGTGGGGAACAGCTGGCTTGGCGCGTCTGTTGACCGGTCAACGTCCGTACGGTCAACTGGAATTCAAATTTTTGATCGCGCCTCTTTGACCGTGTCACGTGCCCGTGTCTACAACTCGAGAATGCTTCCTCTTTGCCGCGGTCTTGGTTTGGCCGTGTCTTCAGACCGTGGCAAACCCCGAACTATGTCTCTTTTCCTTTCTCTTGCCACGGTCTGGTTGTTTCCCGTGGCAAACTCCTCGTGTCAAACCCCGAACACTGCACATTTCATGTTCATTTTGCCACGGCTTTAGCTTCTTCCCGTGGCAACCAAACCGCGGCATTGTCCGAATGTTGCGGGTTCCACTTTCGTTTTGCCACGGCCTGGTCTTGAACTCGTGTCTTGTAGCCGTGGCAAAAACCGAACAAAGACTTAGTCCTCTTTTCTTTTTGCCACGGTCTCCTTCCATCTCGTGTCATTCCCACCGTGGCAAAGCCCGAACCAGGTCCTCCTCTTCTTCTTCTTTTCCTTCTTGGCCACGGCCTTGTGTCCCGTGCCTTTTACCCGTGGCAATCACCGAACCCTTGCATATTTTGCCACAGCCGCGTCTTCAGTCCGTGTCTTGTGGCCCGTGTCAATCACCGAACAAAGGGGATTTCTGTGTACTTTGCCACGGTCTGGCTCCTTCCCGCGGCAATCCCAACCGTGGCAACACCCGAGCCTTGTTCATTCCTCTTTTTCTTTTGCCACGGCGGCCTACGTTCCATGTCACAAGGCCGTGGCAATCGCCGAACGTATGCTTCTTTTGCCACGTCCTGGCCTTGAGACCGTGATTGTCTCCCCGTGGCAACACAAAGAGGCTTGCCACGCCTTGTTGTTGACCGTGGCCGGTGCCCATGTCAAAGGCCGAGCACAAGCTTGTTTCCATTCCTTCATCTCTTTTCATTCTGCATTCACTTTCCAAAGGTTCAGACTCACACCTAACACCTGTAGACACTAAACAGACCCATCAAAACATCCTAAAATATAAAAAGAAAGGAATCAAAAGATCAAAAGCATATTTACAAAGGATAAGCTTGGGGTGTCTCCCAAGAGCACTTTGTTTAAAGTCTCTAAGTTTGACTTTGGAACCTGTTTAACAAGCTGGTGGATCAAGAAAAGGAACTGATGTAGCTTCCTCCTTCATTTGTGAAACCAAATAGTGCTTGATCCTTTGGCCATTTACCACAAACTCTTGACCATTCTTTCCTTCCATGACAGCAGCTCCATATGGCCTCACTTCAAGAACCTTAAAGGGACCAGACCATCTAGACTTAAGTTTTCCTGGAAACAACTTAAGTCTAGAGTTGAACAGCAAGACCAAATCACCATACTTGAACTCCCTTTTCAGAATCTTTTGATCATGCAAAACCTTGGTCTTCTCCTTATAGATCTTTGAGCTTTCAAAAGCCTCAAGCCTAATCTCCTCAAGTTCATGGAGTTGTATGATCCTTTTCTCTTGAGCTGTCTTGATATCAAAGTTCAGCAACTTCACAGCCCACATGGCCTTGTATTCCAGCTCAACAGGAAGGTGGCAGCTCTTCCCATATAGCAGACTGAATGGTGATGTCCCAATTGGAGTTTTAAAGGCAGTCCTATAAGCCCAAAATGCATCATCTAGCCTTTTGCTCCAATCTTTTCTGCTTGAGCTAACAGTCCTCTCAAGAATGGCTTTGATCTGTCTATTGGATACTTCAACCTGGCCACTAGTTTGAGGATGATAAGGAGTAGCTATCTTGTGTTTCACTCCATGTTTTCTCACTAAACCTTCCAGAGTCTTGTTCACAAAATGAGATCCTCCATCAGAGATAACAACCCTTGGGACTCCAAACCTTGGGAAGATAATGCTCTTGAACAGCTTCACTACAACCTTGGAATCATTGGTAGGGGAAGCAATGGCCTCAACCCATTTGGACACATAGTCCACAGCAACAAGTATATACTGATTCCCATATGATGAAATGAAGGGTCCCATAAAGTCAATCCCCCAGCAATCAAAGATCTCAACTTCTAGAATGGGGTTTTGAGGCATCTCACTCCTCTTAGATATGTTCCCATGCCTCTGACAGGCATCACATGCTGAAGAACCTTTGAACATCTTTGAACATTGTGGGCCACCAAAACCCACTCTGAAGAACCTTTGCCACAGTTTTGAATGCCCCCATGTGACCTCCAAAAGCAGAACCATGACATTCTTGCAACACAGGTTGCATCTCCTCTTCAGCAAGACACCTTCTATACAGCTGATCCTTGTTCAGAACATAGAGGTAGGGCTCATCCCAATGGTATCTCTGGACATCTCTAAAGAACTTCTTCCTCTTGTAGGCATCTAATTCAGGAGGCTCCACCCCACATGCAAGATAATTCACTATGTCTGCAAACCAAGGCATCCTCTTTTCTTGAATGCTCTCTACTTCCTCAAACTCCAAGTAGGAATGGAGCACCATCAGAGACTCTTCAGGCAAAGCATCATCTATGGGGACCTTTTCTTCAATCCTCAGCCTTGAGAGATGGTCTGCAGCCCCATTCTCAATGCCCTTTTTATCAAGCACTTCCATATCAAACTCTTGGAGCAATAAAACCCATCTTAACAGCCTTGGCTTGGCATCATTCTTGGTCATCAAGTACCTGAGGGCTGCATGATCAGTATATACTATGACTTTTGATCCCACCAGGTAGCTTCTGAACTTATCAAAGGCAAAAACTATTGCCAGCATTTCCTTTTCAGTAGTAGCATACTTCCCTTGTGCAGAGTCAAGTGTTCTACTGGCATAGTAGATGACATGTTGCTTCTTGTCTTTCTTTTGTCCAAGTACTGCTCCAACAGCAAAGTCAGATGCATCTGTCATGACCTCAAAAGGAAGGGACCAGTCTGGTGCCTGAACTATTGGTGCACTAACCAATGCCTCCTTGATCAACTTAAAGGCTTCTTCACATTCAGCATCAAAGATGAAATCCACTTCTTTGCACAACAGTCTTGTCAAGGGCCTGGCAATTCTTGAGAAGTCTTTGATGAATCTTCTATAAAACCCTGCATGCCCAAGGAAAGTCCTTATCCCTTTGACTGAAGTGGGGGTTTGCAGGTTCACCATTACTTCTACCTTTGCTCTATCAACCTCAATACCCTTCTCAGATATCTTATGCCCAAGAACTATTCCTTCTTGCACCATGAAATGACACTTCTCCCAGTTCAGCACCAAGTTGTGTTGCTCACATCTCTCCAACACCTGTGTCAAATTAGAGAGACAATCTGAGAAGGAGGAGCCATAGACACTAAACTCATCCATGAACACCTCAACTTTCTCTTCAATAATGTCAGAGAAAATGTGCATCATACATCTTTGAAAAGTGGCCGGTGCATTACATAAACCGAAAGGCATTCTCCTATAAGCATAAGTGCCATAAGGGCATGTGAATGTTGTTTTCTCTTGATCTCTTGGATCTATGGGAATTTGAAAAAATCCAGAGTACCTATCGAGAAAACAAAAATAAGGATGATTAGCTAGCCTTTCAAGCATTTGATCAATGAATGATAAAGGGAAATGATCTTTTCTAGCATCAGAATTCAATTTCCTATAGTCAATGCACATGCGATGGCCGGTTATGGTTCTTTGAGCTATGACTTCATCCTTATTGTTTTTCACCACTGTGATCCCACCCTTCTTGGGCACAACATGAACAGGAGACACCCATCTTGAGTCAGAGATTGGGTAAATTATCCCTGCCTCAAGAAGTTTTAGTATCTCCTTCTTAACCACTTCCCTAAGGTTAGGGTTAAGTCTTCGTTGATGCTCAATAGAGGACATAGATTGGTCCTCTAGGTGGATCCTGTGGGTACAAATGTCAGGAGAGATCCCTCTAATATCAGCCAAAGAATACCCTATGGCTCTCCTGAACTTTCTTATTTCATTAAGCAATGCACTCTCTTGATTCTCTAATAGGCTATCATTGATGATGACGAGATATGTGGAGTTTAAGCCTAAGAAAGCATACCTGAGCCCTGTTGGTAGAGGCTTGAGCTCAACAGAGGGTGCATCAGCCTCATTCCAGTCCTGGTCCAAGCTGCTTTGGCTGGTGTCTGATCCTTTGATTGCAAAAACCTCAGAACCTCTTTGTTCCAGCTCCAAAAACCTTGTCTCAGGACCCAACTCTCTTGCATTGTCCAAATACAGCTTATACCCTTCACTTGCTTCAGCTAAGAGCCCATTGTCTCCTTGTTCTTGAGTTAGAGCAGCTTGAAGAGGATCCTCAGTGTTCAGCTCCTCAAGCAACTCATCAGCCAACCATTGTCTCCACATAGAAACATTGACCTTCAATGGTGGGTTTCTTCATCATCTCATTCACATCAAACTTGAGCTTTTCAGACCCAAGTTGAAGCTCTATTATCCCACCTCTCACATCAATAATAGCTCCTGCAGTTGCTAAGAATGGCCTGCCCAAGATAAGAGAATCTATTGGTTCCTCATCCATTTCCAGCACAACAAAATCGGTTGGAACCTCAAAACCACCAATCTTGACAGGTAGATCTTCCAACATACCAACAGGCAATCTAACTGATCTATCTGCAAGGATAAGAGAGATCCTTGCAGGTTTGAAGACTCTAAAGCGCAGCTTCTTAGCTATTGAGAATGGCATCAAGCTGACTAATGCTCCTAGATCACAAAGACATCTAGAGAATAGAAAAGGTCCAATGGCACAAGGGAGTGTGAAGCTCCCTGGATCAGTTAACTTCCTTCGAATGGACTTCTTCTGAATGATAGCACTGCATTCATGACTTAGTACTACCATGCCTTGAAGCTCTTTTGTCTTGTTCAGAATGGCATCCTTCAAGAGCTTCCCCATCTTTGGCATCATTAAGAATGCATCAATGAGAGGCATTGTGAGTGGTGTCTCCTTGAGTGCCTTCCTCAAATACAGCTCTTGCCTTATCCACTAGTTGCTTCTTGAATCTCCCTGGAAATGGGAGCTTGGGTTGGTATGGAGGTGGTGGCACATATTTCTTCTCTAGTTCTGGTTCCTTTGCTGCTTCTTTACCCTTTTCTGTCCTTGGTTTCTCAGCAACTTGATCATCCTTTAAGGCTGCCTCCCCCTCAGTTTGATCATTGTCCTCAATGATCACATTGTTGTTCTCAATACCAGGTAACTCTTTTCCACTCCTCAGTCTAATGGCCTTGGCATATTATTTGGGGTTGGGTTCTGGTTTTCCAGGTAGGTGACCTTGGTTCCTTGAGCTTGATGCCTGGTTCTGCTTCAGTTCCTTGATTTCCTGCTGCATAGCTGCATTCTGGCTTGCAAAGATCTGTTGACCCTGAAGTAGTTGTTGCAGAATACCAACGATATCTGTACCCATCTGTGGCTGCTGTTGAACCATTGGTGGCTGAAACTGTTGTTGAACCGGCGCCTGCTGTTGGAACTGTGGTGGACCAAACCCTGGTGGTGCCTTTGGCTGCTGTGAAGTGTAACCAGTGCCCTGAAATGGTTGCTGTTGCTGACCAAAACTCTGATTCTGACTAAACTGATTCTTGGGTTGGAATGACCCTTGAAAGTTGTTCTTGGGAACAAAGTTCTTTGGAGCTTGAGAATTGGGATAGACCTGGTCTTGTGGGTTAGCTACATTGGCATTCCTGTAAGAAAGGTTTGGATTGGCATTACCATACTGATATCTCTGGAACCTCTGATTCCCAATGTAGTTGAGCTCCTCTTGGGTTAGACCTTCTTCACTTATGTTCTCAAAGATTTGAGAAGGTTCCTCATACTCTCCAACAAAATGCATTGGCTTCTGAGTGGTGAATTTCAGCTTGTCCAATTCACTCCTCAACTCCTTAACTTCCCTAGAGAGCCTCTGTTCTGAGCTTGAACCTTCAGACCTATTTGATCTGTCATAGTCTTCACCATAAGTATCATTGCTCAATGCTAAGTTCTCCACTAGCTCTAAAGCAGCATGTATCTCTTTACCCAGAAAGTTCCCATTAGAAGCAGTATCCAGCTGGTTTCTAATCTTGGGAAGAGCTCCCCTATAAAGTGTGCTGAGAAGAGAAGCCTCACTAAACCCATGGTGTGGGCATTGGTTTGTGTAGCTCCTGAATCTCTCATATGCTTCACCAAAACTCTCATTGCTGTGCTGAGTGAAGCTAGAGATTTGGTTCCTCAGTTTTGCAGTTCTTGAGGTGGAGAAGAACTTAGATAAGAAGGCTTGCTTGCATTACTCCCAGGTTTGAATGGAGCCTCTTGGAAGATTCTTCTCCCATTGGTGAGCTTTGTCACCAAGACTGAATGGGAATAGTCTTAGCTTAAAGCTGTCTTCTGAAACTCCATTTATCTTGGTCAGATCACACACCTTATCAAACTGGTCCAAGTGTTCTAAGGGATCTTCCATTGCCAACCCATGGAACTTTGAGTTCTGGACCATATTCAGCAATGATGCCTTCACTTCAAAGTTGTTGTTTTGCACAGGTGGTGCCTGAATACCAGCTCCATACTGATGAGCATTGGCCCTGTCATTCTCTCCAACATAGACTTGGGGTTGCTCATATCTTCTTTGTTGTTGTTGGAAAGGGTGGGGTTGGTGGTGCACTTGTTGTATTTGCTGAACATTGGCCTGATGCCTCTGTTGATGAGCTTGAGCTTGTCCCTGGTGGACATAAGCTTGTTGATGGTGCACCTGTTCCTGATGAACATTACCCTGATGAAGCCCTTGACCAACTCCATTACCAGCTCCATTACCCTGAGCCTGTTGCTCCTGAACCGGTTGTTCTATATCTACCACGTGATCTCTTTGTTCTTCCATGTCAGCCTGATCAATCTGTCTACCACGTCTGTCCCTTCTCCTCCTTGGTACCAAAAGGTTGATGTTGTTGTTGAGAGGGAAAGGTGGACCACAGCTTCTTGATCTAGACCTGGTGTTCATACACCTGAAATCACAAACAGAACTTGAAAGTAATCTGTAAAAACAAAAAAGTAAGCACTTGATCTCAAGAACAGATCAGAGCTTAATGCTAATCAACCACAATTTGGCAACGGCGCCAATTGATCCCCTTGTCAAAGTAGCAAAAAAGAGGTTTATCAATCCAGATGTGGTGTTAGACACTAAACTATGTGATCAAGTTCTTAATTCAAGCAAACAAGAGTGATTTTGGTTAACTAAAGACAACTACAAACTTAAACAGGATTAAAGACTAATGGCAATGACTAAACAAGAACTAAACAATGACAATTGATGAGAATGTATGAATGATGATGAGAAAGGTCTTAGACATGATAGTGGATTAGGGTGCTTTCAGTGATAAACTAATGAGCTAATGAATTTTATGATCAAGCAAGCCATTCAACATAAACATCATTGATTAAGCTAATCCTCCCATAAAGGTATTAACTTCTTTGCCAAATCATTTTCTAACCTAATCATCATTAGTGAAACATGAATCAGCAAGCATTAAAAACCAGTTTAATCTGTCATTTAAGCATGTAAGCAATCATTCCCATGATGAATAATACTTAAACCTCTAACAACTTTGGTTCAGGCATTTCATCAAACACTTTTGGTGCATGAAATGCCCAGAATCTAGACCACATATGATTTGTATGGATCTAGCATAGAGAACAAGTTGTAGAGAATGGAATATGCATGATCTAACCCCTAAGCTCACTAATCTACCACCTAAGCACCCTAATCTACATATCTAAGACCTTAATATGGGATTTACTCACTAATCATGATTAATACACTAGATCCTTTGCAAGATGTGTTGTTAATCATGATTAAAAGTGTGATTTGATAATAAGAAATGATGGAACAGGATAAAAAGACTCTTCAAATCAATATTAAACTCTCAAATCAAGGTGTGACAAGTTGTTTTTCACAAAAGGGGAAAGGAAACTAAAAGTAGATTAAAGGTTCCTCACAAATTAGGTCTAAAAACCTTATATAGAAGACTTGGGCAAACCGGGTCAACCCGGAACAAACCGGGTACTGACCCGGCCTTGATGGGCAAGTATGGGTTTACCACGGTCTGGTGTGTTCTTGGTGTGACCGTGGCAATCCTGACCGTGTCAAAGCCTTCACTTGTGTTTTTGGTTCCATTTGATGCCACGGTCTGATCAAGCTTCGTCTGAAACTCGTGGCAAGTCACCGTGTCAAACGCCGAAGATGTGTAAAAGTTTCCTCCAGCCAATTGTTCATTTGCCACGGTCAAGTCCCAGACCGTGGCATTCAGCCCGTGCCAATCGCCGAAGGTTGCAAGAAGTTGCCACGGTCAAGCCTCAGACCATGGCATTTAGGCCGTGTCTTCCGCCGAATGGTTGCAAAGTTCTTCTCAGCCAAGTGTGTGTTTGCCACGGTCAAGTGTAGACCGTGGCATGAAGATCGCGTCATTCACCGAGGGTGTGCAAAAGTTGCCACGGCCAAGTGTGGTCCGTGGCATTCCATCGCGGCATGTTTAACTTAGTCATTTTGGGCTGTCTAGACCATCTCGCATTCCGGAGAGTGTAACTACCTGGAGACTTGTCCGAATTGAGTGATTCCGGTTGCAGAAGACAGAGGAGTCATTTATATCCAACTTTTGTGTAGTAAGCTTCGGTGCTTGTGATATATCATGGTTTTTATGGTTTTTAACCATGGTATATGTCTTATTTATAGAGTCTTTTTAGTGTCTTTCGAGTCTTTTGGAGTCTTTTCAGGTCATAGGTACGTTTGGAGCTTAACTGGAGACTTTGGAGCACTTTGGAGCTTAATCAGGATCAAATTCGTCAAGTATGAATTTTGTGCTTTAGTGACGCTCGACACCATGGAGAGTGACGCGCGACACTTGTTAGAGAAATAAGGAAAAGGCGATTTTGTTTTCTATTTGAAGAAGGAGTTGGGCCCAAACGTTTTCAAGGAAGCCCAAAACGTGTCTTAGAGATATATATAGGATTTTTATTCCCTTTTTACGTTAACCTTAGATTTTCTTAGAGAGAGTTTTTGTTTTTGAGAGTTTTTGGGGAGACAAGTCTGAAACTCTGTTCCGGAGAGAGAAGATTTCGAACCCCTGTTTATTAATCTATTTACTGCTTACTGCAAGTTATTCAATCATGCTTATTGCTTCAATCTCCATGTCTGAGTAGTTTGCTTGTTAGGTTTAGGGTTCTCATAAAGGATTTCATTGGATGTTAGATTGATTGGTTAGTTAGGGTTCATAATCTATTTAGTTCTTCACCATAGGTTGTTCTTAAAGCTAATTCTGGATTGGCCACCTAGAACTTAGATCTTAGGTTGCTTAATTGACATGGAAGTGTAATTGAATAACTGGAAAGAACCTAGGGTGAGCAAAGTAGCTATTCGCAAAGGAATTTGGTTTAGATACTTTGTGAACATATCGAACTTGAGCATTAAAGCTGGTTTAAATCTTTAGGGTTTGCAAAGGAATTTGGAATTCTAGGATTTTGACTTAGATAATTCTCACAACGGAAGTTGGTTAATTATAATTCTGTGATTCGAGTTCAAGAACTGTGCTTAAACCTGAACCCTGACTAATCGATTGATCTGCATGCATTGATTTCCTGAGAAACTCCCTAAGCCTAATCTCCATCCATCTGAATCTTACAAACCGTTTTTATTGCTGCTTAGTCTAATTCTGTTGCATTGCTATTTATTTACAATATTTCTGCTTAGCGTAATTCAATCTCTATAAGGTTTATTGAGTGATCTCTTGTCTCTGTGGTTCGACCCCTACATACTACAACTGCACATCTGTGCTCTTGCAGAGTAGCTTAGGGATTAAACTTTGAGCATATCAAGTTTTGGCGCCGTTGCCGGGGACTTGATTTCGCCATTAAACCTAGTTTTTGAGTTTCGACTAAGTTTTTCGACTTAGTGTCGAGCGATACCACTTGTGGTGTCGCGCGACACCTTCTTTTCTTTAACCTAGTTTACTTATTTTCGTTTTCTCTCTTTGTTTTTGGTGTTTCAGGTTTATGCATACTCGTGGAACTAGGAGCAACAAGGACATCCCGCTAGTGAATTTGAGCAACGAACAGCTAGCTGAGTTAGAGCGAACGAGGCGGAAAGCAAGAGATCCGGCAATGATGGAAAACGCCAATGGACTTGTTCGTGATGATGATGGAACCTGGAGAGACCGAGAGGGTCATCTGTGCAATGCGAGAGGCCAAAGGATTGATGGAGATGGTAACATCATTCTACCAGCTCCTTTACCAGTGGATGTTGTTGACCAGAATCCACCACCTGCACCGCGTGGTAATGCTGTGATCGTTCCACATCTGAGGAACGCTCCAGAAGATCGGAATGTAAGGGAACCTGCACCTGCAGCTGGACATGGACGAACACTTGGAGACTACAACAGGCCTGAGCAGTTCTATGAAAATCGTTCTGCGATTCGCGCTCCTGCGTTTCAAAGGAACGATTTTGAGCTGAAGTCTGTGTACTACACTCTTGTGGGTCAGCATCCTTTCCATGGCCACTCTCATGAGCACCCTATGGATCACATCGAGAGGTTTGAGGACTTGGTCACCAGCATCAAATACAATGGAGTGTCCAATGATTTCCTCCTCTGCAAGCTGTTTCCTTACTCTCTTGCTGGAGAAGCAGCTAACTGGTTGAAGCAGTTGGAGCCAGGATCACTCACCACTTGGGAGGAGACCAGGAACGCCTTCCTGCACAACTTCTTCGACGATGCTAGGTCTGAGGAGTTGAGGACTAAGATCTCGACTTTCTCTCAGGACCCTACTGAAGCGTTCAAGGCTTCTTGGGTGCGATTCAAATCGTACCAGCGAGACTGCCCTCACCATGGCTTCAGCGATGTGCAGTTGCTGGGTATCTTTTTCAGAGGTATCGACTGGAGGTATCAGATGGCGCTTGATGCAGCAAGCAATGGGAACTTCAACACCAGATACCCAGACGAAGCTGTTGAGCTCATCAAAAACTTGGCATCCAGCAATAGCACCAAGAATGCAGATCTAGAGCGAAAGAAGCAAGCTGGGAACATGGATAGATCGCAGATCGCTGAGGTGAAAGCTAAACTTGATTCTGTGCACAGCCTTTTAGTGGGTAAGAAATCTGTCAGATTCGCACAGGAGGTGGAGAGTTTCGAACCTGAGGATGCAGCTGAGGAAGAGGATGTCAACTTTGTCAGTGGATCAGGATTTCAGGGTCAGAGGTTTGGTAATCAGCAAGGTAACAGAAGCTACAGTGGAAATTACAGTGGAAACAATCAGAGGAATACCTTCAACAGTAATCAGAACTTCTCTGGTTACACGCCTAAGCCTCAGTACCAGAAACCTTTTTCGAGCAACAGTTTTTCCAGAAACTACAGCACTCCTTCATCTCAACCTCAAAATCCTGACAATGAGATGAAGTCTATGCTGGAACAGATTCTGGAAGGTCAGCAGAAGCTCACCGTGGACTTTAATGGGAAGATGGATGCTCTCTACCTCGATCTGAATGGAAAAATCGAAGTTCTGAACACCCATGTCAAGCAGCTCGATACACAGGTAGCCCAAACTGCAGGTTCTGTTAAAAGGCAAGAGGGTTTTCTTCCTGGGAAGACTGACACCAATCCAAGGCATCACTGCAGTGCTATCACGTTGAGGAGTGGTAAAAATCTGAGTTCTGAGCCTACGAAGACGCCTCCTGCACCTGAAGTCGTGGACTTAGAAGATTCTGAAGAAATTCCTGAGATTGCAGAGCCGGTGACGAGCGACACCATCACTAGTGTCGCGCGTCACCAATTGCAGAGCGAAGCTGTTGATATTCCGAATCCGAAATCTGCAGAGGAGAAAGTCTACAAACCTAAAGTTCCTTACCCAAGGAGCCCTAGGAAGTCCAAGCAAGAGCTTGATGATGCACGATGCAAAGCTCTGATGGAAAAGCTTGTGATTGAGATACCTTTGGTTGATGCTGTAAAAATCACTCCTGTCATCAGACGTTATGTGAAGCGAATGGTAACCAATAATCTCAGCCATGAACAGGGAGTGATGATGATATCTGAGCAAGTCAGTGCAGTGATTCAGAACCGAATTCCAGAGAAGCTGTCTGATCCAGGAAGCTTTGTCTTGGATTGCTCTATCTTCACAGAGAGATTCAAGAGATCGCTGTGTGATCTGGGTTCAAGTGTTAATCTCATGCCCTATTCGGTAGCTGTCAATCTCGGCATGACTGATTTCAAGCCAACAAGGATCTCCCTCATCCTAGCTGATCGTTCGACAACGATACCTGAAGGGGTGCTAGAAGATGTTCCAATCAAGGTTGGAGACTGCATGATACCGACTGACTTTGTGGTTTTGGAGTATGGAGAGGAGCCTAAAGATCCTCTTATCCTTGGGAGACCTTTTCTAGCTACAGCAGGTGCTATTATCGATGTCAGGAAAGGCAGGATTGCTCTGAATGTTGGAGATCTGGTGATGAACTTTGACATGGACAAGCTGATGAAGAAGCCCAGCATCGATGGTCAGACCTTCTATGTCGATACTCTCACAGAGTTTGCTGAGGAGTTTCTCCATGAGATGCTGCCTACAGACCCACTTGAGAGAGCTCTGACCACGTTTGCCTCTGAGGCCGAACACTTGGACGAAATTTCAGTATCTTACTCAAAGATGTTGGACTCCAGCGAGCATGCGATGCAGCTGGCATCGCAGGTTGAACAGCTTGAGACTCCTGCGAAGGTGAAGCAGTTATCCGACTGGAGTGAGGATAAAGCCCCTAAGATTGAGTTCAAACAACTCCCTGCAGGACTAAGGTACGCATTCCTGGGCTCTAATTCTACTTATCCAGTCATTATCGATTCTTCTTTGAACAATGCTGAGGTTACCTTACTACTGAGCAAGCTGCGCAAGCATCGCAAAGCTTTTGGCTATTCTCTTGATGATATTTCAGGTATCTCACCAGAATTGTGCATGCACCGAATCCACCTGGAGGATGAGTCGAAGTCGTCGATTGAGCACCAGCGCAGGTTGAACCCTAACCCGAAAGACGTTGTCAAAAAGGAGATCATGAAGCTGCTGGAAGCTGGAATCATCTATCCAATTTCAGATAGTGCCTGGGTGAGTCCTGTGCACGTGGTTCCTAAGAAAGGAGGGGTTACTGTTGTGAAGAATGACAAGGATGAGTTGATTCCGACGCGCACAGTGACTGGACACAGGATGTGCATCGATTACAGGAAGCTGAATGCAGCGACCAGGAAAGATCACTTTCCATTGCCCTTTATTGATCAGATGCTGGAGAGACTTGCAAGCCATCCCTACTACTGCTTCCTCGATGGGTACTCAGGATTTTTCCAGATCCCTATCCACCCAGACGATCAGGAGAAGACCACCTTTACATGTCCATACGGCACTTTCGCATATCGCAGGATGCCCTTTGGACTCTGTAATGCTCCTGCGACGTTTCAGAGATGTATGATGTCCATCTTCACTGACATGATTGAGGATTTCATGGAGGTCTTAATGGATGATTTCTCAGTCTACGAATCATCTTTTAAGGACTGTCTGGATAATCTCTGCAAGGTTCTGGCTCGCTGTGAAGAGAAACACTTGGTCCTTAACTGGGAAAAGTGTCACTTTATGGTCAGAGATGGGATTGTGCTTGGACACAAGGTTTCTGCAGCTGGTATCGAAGTGGACCGTGCGAAGATCGACGTCATGACGAGCTTGCCACCACCCGATTCTGCAAAATCGGTTAGAAGTTTTCTGGGTCATGCAGGCTTCTATCGTCGCTTCATCAAAGATTTCAGCAAGATTGCACGCCCTCTTACTGCTCTGCTCTGCAAAGATGCTAAGTTTGAGTTTACAGATGAGTGCCTTGCTGCGTTCGAACAGATCAAGCATGCCCTGATAAGCGCCCCCATTGTGCAGCCTCCTGACTGGAATTTGCCTTTTGAGGTGATGTGTGATGCTAGTGATTTTGCTGTTGGTGCTGTTCTAGGACAGAAGAAGGATAAAAAGCTTCATGCCATCTACTATGCCAGTCGAACTCTGGATGATGCTCAAAGGAATTATGCTACTACTGAGAAAGAGCTGTTGGCTGTGGTCTTTGCTTTTGAGAAATTTCGGCCATACCTTGTGGGATCGAAAGTGATTGTGCACACAGACCATTCTGCACTCAAATACTTGATGCAGAAGAAGGATGCGAAGCCTAGGTTGCTGCGATGGGTGTTACTCCTTCAGGAATTCGATATTGAGGTCAAGGACAAGAAGGGTGTTGAGAATGGTGTGGCAGATCATCTCTCACGCATCAGGGTTGAAGACGACGTACCCATAGACGATTTCCTGCCAGAAGAGAATGTGTATTATGTGGAAACCAAGTCCCAGAGCAGTTTTGACGAAGAATTGCAGGTTTTTCGAGTTGGAGGAACGTTAGTGACGAGCGACACCACCACTAGTGTCGCGCGTCACCTTTCTCAGGAGAACACAGAGACCTCCCAAATTCGAAACAGACTTCCTGAGACCAGTTCAGCTGCTGTATCCGCTACCCAACGCCCTTGGTATGCCGATATTGCCAATTATCTCGCTGCAGAGGCTGAGCCTGAGAACTTTAAGGGCTATGCAAAGAAGAAGTTCCTGAGAGAGCTGCGAAGATACCACTGGGATGAGCCATATCTGTACAAGCACTGTTCTGATGGGATTTACAGAAGATGTATTGCAGAGTCAGAAGTTCCAGAAGTGCTGTTTCATTGTCATGGATCCGAATATGCTGGACACTTTGCAACATTCAAAACAGTGTCTAAGGTTCTTCAAGCAGGCTTCTGGTGGCCCACCATGTTTCGCGACGCACATGCATTCATCTCGCAGTGCGATGCTTGTCAGAGGAGAGGAAAGATCAGCAAAAGACATGAGATGCCACAGAATTTCATCCTTGAGGTTGAGGTATTCGACTGCTGGGGTATCGATTTCATGGGTCCTTTTCCCTCTTCTTATGGGAACAAGTACATCCTGGTTGCTGTTGATTATGTCTCAAAGTGGGTTGAAGCCATTGCCAGTCCCACCAACGACTCTTCAGTGGTCCTTAAGATGTTCAAGACCATCATCTTTCCTCGATTTGGAGTGCCTCGAATTGTTATAAGTGATGGTGGTACTCACTTTATTAACAAGATTTTCGAAAAACTCCTAAGGAAGCATGGAGTTCATCATCGAGTTGCCACTCCTTATCACCCTCAGACGAGTGGACAGGTCGAAGTCTTGAATCGACAGATCAAAGAGATTCTGGAGAAGACAGTGGGAAAAACTCGAAAGGATTGGGCTGCAAAGTTGGACGATGCACTCTGGGCGTACAGGACAGCGTTCAAAACACCTCTAGGCACCACACCTTTCCACCTGCTCTATGGAAAGCCCTGTCACCTTCCAGTGGAGATCGAACACAAAGCAGCCTGGGCGATAAAGCTGATGAATTTCGACATCAAGTCTGCTGCAGAGAGGAGACTGATACAACTGAATGAGTTGGACGAAATCAGGTACCATGCCTATGAGAATTCGAAGTTGTACAAAGAGAGGACCAAGGCGTATCACGATTCCAAAATCCTCTCCAGGCAATTCGAACCGAATGATCAGGTACTTCTGTATAATTCTCGTTTGCAATTGTTTCCTGGTAAACTTCGTTCTCGATGGTCAGGTCCTTTCATAGTCAAAGAGGTTCGCCCCTATGGTGCTATCGTCCTCCTCACACCAGATGGTAGCAGGGAGTTCACAGTCAATGGACAAAGGGTGAAGCACTACTGGGCCAAAGCTGAGATTCCGGATGGACATAACGTGCCTCTGGATGGTGCACCTCCTGCTTGAATCGCCATCAAGTCAAGCTAATGACTTAAAACAAGCGCTTGGTGGAAGGCAATCCACTGGTGAGTCTGTAAATAAGTCTTTTGTTTCAGTGATTTTCGTTTTTCTTTTCGTGTTTTAGGTGAAGCAGAGGCTGGTGTCGAGCGACACTACCTTCGGTGTCGCTTGTCACTTGTTTTCTCTATATATAAAAACAAAAAAAAAAAAAACAAAAAAACAAAAAAACAAAAAAAAAATTAGGAAATCAGGAATCCGGAGTCAAACCAGAAATTTGGATTGGTCTGCTGCAATTCGGTACGAGGAAAACAAGTGTCGCACGATACCATCATCAGTGTCGCGCGTCACCATCATTGCAGCCAGGTAAGTTATCTGTTTTTCCTGTGTTTCTCTGTTTCTTTTCTTTTGTCACCAACTTCGGATTTGATTACACTGGGGACAGTGTTATTCAAGTCTGGGGGAGGTAGTTGCTGACATTGTGTTTGTTTTTCTTAAGAGTCAGTTGTGTCAAAACGTTTTTGAGTCAAAACCTGTTGGAGATCATGATGCTTTTCCTGGAATTATTGTGTTGACTTTTCACCTAAGTGACCACTGCTGCAAATTCAGACTAGATCCGACTAATGAAAAATCCAAAGGCTGACAGTTGACTAGAGGCGTCCATGTTTCCAACAGAATCCACTAACCTGAGCTAAGTACTGAACTTCACTTTTAACTCGCTGATGTGACTAATGCCTTAGAGCTTGATTCCTCATTCGTACTTGATCAATGAAAGCCTGTGTGAAATCTAATGAAGTGATTTCTCTCCCTTGTGACGAGCTAAGAAAGAAAGAAAAAGGGCAAAAAGATTGAGATGATTTTCGCTTAGGAGTGAAGGGCTAGGAATGTTTCCAATGATCCCATTATTTCACTTCTAAGTTGGAATGATCACACAAAGGAAGGAAGTGAGGGGTAGGAATGTTTCCCATGACCCCACTATTCGCTGAAAACCTTTGATACAAGGTAAGGGGACAACTTGGGGACTTGGTGGCAAACACCATCAGTACTCGCAGCTTTACCCTTATCGAGTATATGCCATAAAAATGATGATGAGTGTGCGAAAAGAATAAGTCTGGGGGAGAGAAAAGTACCAAAGTTTGTATGGCTGATTTGTTTGAGTAGAGAATGGGAAAGAATCTAGAAGGTTCTGGGCATTGGAATCATCAGTGAGATCCAGCGATGAGGGTTTATGGACAATGTTGTGAAATTTTGGATTTAGTCTGGAAAGCTGTGAATGTCTGCGGAGAAGTACATGGTGGTTCGATTTGGAATGATGAAGCAGTAGTTAAGTTGCAGGGTGAACGGTCAAAGCGATGTTCCAATGAAAGGTTGAGTCTCTGTGTTTTCAAACTTCTTTCTCCTGTTTGGTGTTCTGTTTGCTTGAGGGCAAGCAAATGCTAAGTCTGGGGGAGTTGATATATCATGGTTTTTATGGTTTTTAACCATGGTATATGTCTTATTTATAGATTTTTTTTAGTGTCTTTCGAGTCTTTTGGAGTCTTTTCAGGTCATAGGTACGTTTGGAGCTTAACTGGAGACTTTGGAGCACTTTGGAGCTTAATCAGGATCAAATTCGTCAAGTATGGATTTTGTGCTTTAGTGACGCTCGACACCATGGAGAGTGACGCGCGACACTTGTTAGAGAAATAAGGAAAAGGCGATTTTGTTTCCTATTTGAAGAAGGAGTTGGGCCCAAACGTTTTCAAGGAAGCCCAAAACGTGTCTTAGAGATATATATAGGATTTTTATTCTCTTTTTACGTTAACCTTAGATTTTCTTAGAGAGAGTTTTTGTTTTTGAGAGTTTTTGGGGAGACAAGTCTGAAACTCTGTTCCGGAGA